TAGTTGGTTGGATGGGTTGGGTTGATTTTATGGCTAGTTTTTAACCAACCCAACCAGCGCACAACCCTATCTGTATCTTTTTAACTTCAATTTAAATCATATATATATATATATATATATATATATATATATATATATATGCGCGGTTGAGAGACTACAACTCTAGTTACACACCTTTTCCGTAAGAAATGAAACAATTAAAAATAAACTAAAGGAAATATATATCACGATTTCCGTAAGATATGAAACAATTAAAAATAAACTAAAGGGAATATATATCACGATTCGGGTAAATTTGATCAAATATATCAATATATATATGTTTCACTCGATTACTTTTGAATCTTTGATACTCAGTTGTTCCAAAGTGAACACAATACACATCACCAATTCAATTTCAAACACAATTTGTTCCCCACCGTCACATGTCCGTTCACATCTAACGGAAAACACTACTTTATGACCGAAATTGAATTCAACTTTCGTCATCTCAAAAAACCTAAGATGGCTAACAAAGAAAGCTTGGAATCCAAGCAAAACAAACCGACAAAAGCCCCCCATTAGAGACTAAAAAAATATATATATACATATAGTTGTAATATATATATATATAGAAAGATTAATTGTTTTGTAGGATCAACTAACCAACATTAGTGTAGAAGCTGGTTTAGCAGATAGAGAAGGTGAAAATGGTGTTTTAGGAGTAGTAGCAGCAGACCTCTTTGCAATAGTTGCCTTGGGGCAAAACAGTAATTTCCTTCTGTGATTATTATTTAACAAATTTCCGCCATAGCCACCACTACTTTTGCATGATGAAGAAGATTTCATCCTTCGGCTGTACGACGTCGTTTGGGGATCCTTCTTCCCGAGATCGTCAACGCTCTCCACACTCGCCAGCGATCCAAACGTCTGCGATTTTCCATGGTAATACTTCGATAAACCCCTCCTGCAAATTTTTTTAATCATCACCACAATTAATTTCACACATTTACACACACAAACACGTGTAAACATATATATATATATATATATATATATATATATAGAGAGAGAGAGAGAGAGACACACACACACAGAGAAATTACTTACTTAATGGGGAGTTGAGACATGAGCTCAGCCAAATGGAAGAGAGGGCCGCCGCCGCAAGAATTACTATGATCAGATGAAGATGAAGAAGATGATGACGTGTCATCTGTTGATTCGTCTGCTGCTGAGGATGAAGAATATTCCATATCTGATTCGCAATTTTCTTCATCTTTCTTGATAATCCCCCACGTATAATTATTAATGGATCCCATTTAATTTCTTGGAATAAATAAATAAATCAAACTTGATAATAAGTTTCAGAGAGCTTGAAAAATGTAATGAGTCGTCTCTTTATAAAAATGGAGCATATATATATGTATATATGTATGTGTATTTTGTATGTATAGGTGGAGGGGAGCTAGATATATGTGGATGTTAATGAAGGGTTTATGATGATGATCAATTTATTTTACACGTTTTTAATATTATTTTCCAAGATGTGTTTGTTTGTTATTATCCTTATAGAAGTAGCTAGGTTTGGTCATTTTCAATTTCACATAATATATCTATTATTTTTAATTTTATTTTTTAAAGTGAAAAGTACATGCAAGAGGATAAGACCTATATATATAATTATATATATATATATATATATTTGAAGAGATTTATCCAAATCCGAGTCATCACTTTTGCACTTTAGGGAATTTTTAAGGTGGATTGGATCATACAATATCTACTATGAATATCTATTATGGCATTCTTTGTCCCCACAAAGTAATGACTGGGCTTTCATGGTGTGCTTTTTGATCTAGCGTTTTCAATTATTTTGTAGGTTAACGAGCGGATATGCATTCTTGCGGGTTTAGATATCCGAGAGTCCTTCAATCGACATTCGAACATCAACGAGTGGAGTAGCCTTGTAAACTACCTCATACACGGAGAAATAATCAACTGTTTTGTTTAATGAATGAATCTCTTCACTAACGGGCTCAATCAACTATAGGTTAACGAGCGGATCTTTATTCGTGCGGGTTCAAATACTCTTGAGTTTTCCAATCGACATTTGGATATCAACAAGTAGAGTCGTCCTTTAGACTACCTCATACACATAGAAACAATCAACTCTTTTGTAGGTTAATGAATGGATCTCTTCTCTTGCGGGCTAATTAATTGATCTATTCTCTTGCGGGCTCAAATACTCTCGAATTGCTTAACTGACATTAAGAAACAATGAGTGGATCCTTCCTCTCGACTACGTAGTAGTTACATATTTTCGAAAACCTCTACTCTTGCGGCCTCAAATACTCTTGAGTTACTTAATTGACATTTGAGAAATAATAAGAGGATCCATCCTCTCGACTAATCAGATACGTAGTTGTTACGAGCTCAAAATACTCTTGGGCTGAGATTGGGCAGCAGCAGCGAGCGGAGCCATCCCATGCGACTACTTCGGACACATCGTAGTAGTTCTCGACATTCTCTACTTTGCTGACTTGAAAGATTTTTTGATTGCCAAATTAACATTTGAAGAGCATCAACTAAAAATCCCAATATTTTATTTTTATTTTTCCACCAAATATTGTTGTAATAAAAAATTTATTGAGCCGAGCTGAGATATCTGATAATGGCTATTTCTTCTAATATCTTAAATTAATCATTTGAACAATTGTATGAATTTTTAAATAAATTAGTTTCAAATAATATTTAGAAGTTCAAAGTCCATCTAGATTGGAAAAGGCCCAAATTGTGAAGATCAAACCCATTTAATCTTTCTTGAATTCTACTAAATGGGCTTTGTGATTTAACATTAAAAGGTCAACACGTGTATTGTATGTACCTATTTTTACATACCCATATAAAATAAAACTATTATAAAAATTAATATAATATATTTGGTTAAACTATTGGAATATTTTATTCATTATTCGTAAGAAGATAAAATAAATTTGAAGATATAAATTGAAATAAAGGTAAAAGTAGAAGGGCTTGAAAATAAATTGACGGTGACCGTTGATATTTGAGGAGCATGCGAACTCGAGATATGGGGAAGCAGAAACAGTGGATTTTATGTGGGGAATCGAGTTTACAGACATGCCAACAATATCCCACCATACAACTTTATAAAATAAATTAAAAATTATCTAATAAATAAATAATCTTTTCTCCGGAATCAAGAAACATTTTCTTAGCTGGATTTAATAAATTTATTTCAAGTCCGTATTACATCAAACAAACTGACAAACATCACCTTGCTGACACAGCAACACACACACACACACACTGCCCGACACATGCACACAGAGTACAAGCTAGCACACTTCTCTCTCTCTCTCCCTCTCTCTCTTGTTTCTCTCTCTAGAACGGAGCTCGAAGAGAGGGCCCTTTTTTTCTGTGTTGTCACTGTACTTCGTAAGAGAGACGTTGTAGAAAAAAAGAGTACCGTTGAAAAAGATTCCATCTTTAACAAAAATTGAATTTGAATCAAACAAATTAAGTTATAGCTAGCAAGCATTGAGCAAAAAAAAAAAGAAGAAAAAAAAACTAAGTGTGGGAGTTTTTTTTTTTTTTTTTAATCGATCTCTTACATCAACTGTGGATCGAGCAAATGGGGAGTGGCGGATTTGTGCAGCTTGTCTTCATTTGTTTTCAGCTCTTCTTGTTTCTTGGTAAGTGTGTCTGTGTGTGTGTGTGTGTGTGTGTGTGTGTGGGGTGTAAATTTGAGCTCTTTTTGAACATTTTTGACAATGCCTATTGTACAATGGTAGTATTAATTAGTTTATTTCTGTCTCTAGATTTTGGGGCACCCTTCAAACTAATTAGGTGTGTAAACGAGCCGAGTCTCGAGTTCGAGTTCGAGCTTTTGTCGAGCCGGCTCAGCTCATTTCATTTACACAGCTGAAATTGATTCATTGCCAAAGTAGTGGTTTTATTTCTGATTGCTTCCTTAACTTCATTAAGGGCAGTTGTGTAATTTTTGGGACTTTGGATAATGATTAATACTTGTCGGTGGCTAATTAAATTGCTTAATTAGGTTTTTAGGATGAGTATTTTTTTGGGTGGAGGGTTTCAACTCTCAAGTGTTGGGCTTTTATTTCATTTTTAATTACCACATTGTAAATGCTTTCTAAGTTTCTTTGTAGCAGCAAATTCTTATTCCTACATTAATCGTGTCCTAAAATAATGATTAGTGTGGAAATTTATCCAAGTAGGGAAACATTAGGGTATCAAAAAATGGTTTCGAAATGTGGATATATAATCAATGTGACATGTTCATTTTTACTATACATGTTGGCTGTGTTATTACATGATTTGTTGTTTGATTGAAGCCATGATTTCATTGTTCGATTTGAAAAAAAATAAATCAAGTAGAAATACTAGATAACCTACTCATGAACATTTCAAATATACATATGTTAGAATTCTTTCTTCTCTTTCTTGAATAACAACTTGTTACGTAGTCATTCTTGATGTCTTATTAGTTATTACCAAGATTCAATCTTGCGCTTTCTCGAATAACAACTTCTTACATAGTCATTCTTTTATGTCGTACCAAGATTCAATCTTGCGCTTTCTTGAATTACAACTTCTTACATAATCATTTCTGAGATTTGATTATCAAGAATCAATCTTTAAAAAAAAATTCAATCTTTTTTTATCTCATAGGCACATGTAGAGGCGGTAAAATCGGGATATGCTACGGCCGAAATGCCGACGACCTCCCACCACCCGAAAAGGCCGTCCAGCTCATCCAACTCCACAACATCAAATACGTACGTATCTACGATTCCAACATCCAACTCCTCAAAGCCTTTGCCAACACAAACATCGAACTCATAATCGCAATCCCAAACTCCGACCTACTCCCCTTCTCCCAGTTCCAAACAAACGCCGACACCTGGCTCAAGAACACCCTCCTCCCTTACTACCCCGCCACCAAAGTCACCCACATCACCGTCGGAGCCGAAGTCACCGAAGCCCCCAACAACGTCTCCTCCCTAGTGGTCCCCGCCATGCAGAACATATTCACCGCCCTTAGAAAAGCCGCACTTCATCGAAAAATCAAAGTCTCGAGCACACACTCACTAGGTGTGATGTCGCGCTCTTTCCCTCCTTCCGCTGGTGCCTTCGACAGCAAGCACGCGTTTTTCCTCAAACCGATGCTCGAGTTTCTCGCGGAGCATAATTCACCGTTCATGGTCAACTTATACCCTTATTACGCTTATCGAGATTCCACTTCAAATGTTTCTCTAGACTACGCTTTATTCGAATCATCTTCGGAAGTGATTGATCCTAATACCGGTTTGTTATACACCAACATGTTCGACGCGCAAATAGACGCGATTAATTTCGCACTCACCGCTCTCAATTTCCGAACTGTCGAGATTATGGTGACAGAAACAGGGTGGCCCACAAAGGGTTCGCCGAAAGAGACTGCAGCTACACCAGATAATGCGCAAACGTACAATACGAATTTAATTCGACATGTGATAAATAACACGGGCACACCCGCGAAGCCAGGTGAAGAAATAGATACGTACATATTCTCTTTGTTCAACGAGAACCGGAAGCCCGGATTGGAATCGGAGAGGAATTGGGGGTTGTTTTTTCCCGACCAGACGAGCGTGTACAATCTTGATTTCACGGGGAGGAGCGGGGGTGGTGCAGTGGACACTACTGCGGGGGGGAATTTCACCGGGGGGTTGAATAATGGGACTTGGTGTGTTGCTTCGAATAATGCTTCGGAAAGTGATTTGAGGAACGGGCTTGATTGGGCTTGTGGGCCCGGAAATGTGGACTGTTCGGCTATTCAGCCGAGCCAGCCTTGCTTCGAGCCGGATAGCTTGGCTTCGCATGCTTCGTATGCATTTAATAGCTATTACCAGCAAAATGGAGCTACTGATATTGCTTGCACTTTTGGTGGTGCAGGTTTTAGAACAAACAAGAATCCAAGTAAGTCTCATGTATATATATATCATTTCAACTACCTTTGATTTAATGAAAATTGACCTATCTTAATGTTCTGTTGATTTATGTAGGTTATGACAACTGCATGTATATGGTTTTCGGGTATGCGTAAATATTGTTTAATAGTTTGTTTATATTTTTATATATTTTATAGCAAGAGCTCGTTGATTTTCCTAGAACTAATTTTTTTTTTCTGTGATTTAAATTTCGTCAGCACAAACAAGACTGCAGCAGCTAATGCAACAATTAGTCCTTCGAAATCTTCATCGTGCGTAAAGGCAATCTCCATATGGATTGCCGTTGGTTGCTTGTTGATTGGTTCATCGGCGTTTCTGTAAGATTCGGTTCATATGAAGAAAAAACGAGCAGGGAGTTATCCAACTATATGTGTATGTATAGCAGCTAGCTAGCTATCTCTATTCAACCCAATTTTTGACCAAAAAAAAAAACACCAAGGAATTATTATGTATGATAGCTTTAGTTAGACAAACCTTTTTTTCTAGGATGATAGAGCATACATAAGAACTAATTGTATGCTCGAGATTTTAATTTGTATTCGTTGCAATGGGATTGAAAAAATTGAACTTCCGAGTTGCGACTTGCGATATAAGCTGCAAACCCGTGCTAAATTAGCTTAAAGGCTTTGCTTATCGAAATGGCGTTATTGTAGTTTTTTGACAAATGTTATGTATGGTGGAATAGATGCTTAAGAATTAGATAAAGGGTGGAGAATCGTGTGTGTACATGTTTCGAACGTGATTTATGAGAGGATGGAAATCGATATATTTTCGATTTAAAGCTCGATCATTAATAATTTTACTCATATTTTGTTTCGATAATCTAAACAAACTTTGTTCGAGCTCGTCTTATGAGAATAAAAATATGTGGAGAAAAAAAAATCAAGTTTCGTTACCACTTGTCGTTATGATTAAAATTCGTAGGAGCTCGATTTGGCTAATAATCAAGGCAGAGCTCGATTAGGCTAACCATGATGGACAAGCTGCGCTTCGTTGCATAGTAGTTATAAGGATAACATGTCAAAATCAATCAAAGTTTATAATAGGTGCAATTGAAAAGGTCAGCTAAACTCTGTCACACTTCAATTAAATGTTAATATATGTGTAATTTTGAAACTAAAAAATGAAGATGTCCAAGCTACAGCCAACCCATGATTGACAACAAGTGGTTATGATGATAAATTAATGAGGTAAACAAATGTCTTTAAAATATTATATTGGCAAATGGGAATAGTTTTAGTTTTGTTTAGCAATGATCAAGAGTTATCTTTTGGCCAGAAATTAAAAATTAATTTATTATCTGTCAATGGACTTTCTAGACAGATGATAGATAAACTTCACTAAATAATGAGAACCTAATAAGTGGATTTGTTACAAGAATTCCAAATGAGAAAGGTTACTTGTCAATTTTACTAATACTATTTTGACTTTGAACGTAATTTTGACAATTTTCTAGTTTGATCTTGGTAAAACCAAAACACATAAATTGCGGTTCTTTTATGTTAGCTTTCTAATCCAACTTGAATCAGTCAAATTGAATGTCGATAATAAACTTACGCGTGAACGAGTTACGTTTTGAATTCTACAAAACTCAAAACATAAAAAATGAAGGCACTCAATCTTAGTGATTCACGCAATATCTTTCTAAACCGACATTCAATCTTAGTGATTCAAGCTAGATTACAAAACTAATTCAAGGAATTACGAATCCAGCACTTTGGGTTTTACGAAATTCAGACTAGAAAATGATCAAAACTGCGTTTGAAAGTCCAAACAGTATTATTTTATGTGAACCGACATTTTTCATATCCCAGTTCGTCAAAATAGGAGAGCAGACCATAACCCAATAAACGTGCAAGTCGAAATTCAATGTATCGTTTTACTTCACTAGTTCGTGTACCCAATCCACTCAAATTGGTTAGCTGGCATGAAAATGGTGTACCATATCTTTGTATGGTTTGTAATGCCAGAAGAAGATAAGTAGTTTGGGTATATCTTAGTGCAAGTTTCATTTAAAATAATAATGAATTTGAAGCCACAATAATAATAATAAATAAAATAGAAAAAAGAAGGGCATAAAACATAAGACAACATTGTCCACAAAAAATGGTGAGGAAGCACAAATTAAGTATCAAAGCCAATTCTGTATTTGCAAAAAGATGTCTATAAAATTAGAAAACCCATCCAAAGAACCACCCAAAAATACATAATTTACTCACATGGAATCATAATAACAGTTTTTTTTCAATAACCGGAAAACGCAAAAGAGAGACCGAATCTATCACTTTTGAAACACCAAACTTTCGTCATAACCAAGAACCCACAACTTCAAATACCGTATAGTAGAGCACAATCGCTGCAAAGTGAAGTCAAAACAAAGCCCTAGGTTAACGGCCGGAAAATCTTATTACGATTCAAATTAAATACCATGAAAGCGAAACAACTTACCAAACACTTAAAGACCTTGTTCAACAAGATAGTCACCAATCTTCTCGACAACCATGTTGCACTGACCTCCAGTCATTGGCTCATTGTAGATGCCAAAGATCAAGGCCAAATTCGTCTTTTTTATCGTAACACCACCAGTTCCCTATACCAAAAATATATATTCATTTTAAAAAAATAAGTTAACATAAGTTTTCATATAACTAATTGACAAACACACCATTATCTTGATTCTTGCCCTTTGCTACTAGAAGCCATTAGCAAAACTAATACAGAATTAACAAGAAATTAAGTAAATTAGAAAGAGATTAGATCGAAATACCATCTTCCCTCTAATGACTGCTCCAGGTTCACCTTGAATCACCATGTACTTGGCTCCCCCAATGTACAATCCAGTCGGAGCTAACGAGCCGGGAGTATCAAAGTCAGTCATGATACCTGTTACCTCCTCGGGCTTCAACTGCACCAGCATTGAATTCATACGTAAACAGGACAATAAAATCAATCAAATAGTACATTATTGAAATTAGGGAGCAATTACACGAAAAGATCATCTACGACTTTTTAATTATTTATTTTAAAAGGTTTGTTTTTATTCAAACATTTTTTATTTTTTTATTTATTTTATTTTAGCAGATATTTTATGTGCATCAAAGAATAAACTGATAACCCTAATCAAAGAATTTAAGAGAGGAATATGATCTAATATCAAGCAATAAACGGCTTTTCGACCCTACCAAACGCATATAAACAAAATCAAAAACTTCTAATTTATCAAACAACGAATATAACCGATCAAAACAACAGAAAAGAAAAATCAACCAATAGCTGGATCCAACTACAACGAATACTAAGAACTTAAAAACCAAAATACAACAAAAATCGAAACCATCAGCTACAAACTAAACGGATCTCACAAGTCAAATCAAGTTCAAAACGGCACAAAATCAAGGTAAACTAAATATTCATCAACCAGATCGGGCAAATTCAAACAGCAACGAATATACCCAAGCAAAAGCAACTACAAAAATTCAAATTACAGTTGGATCTAACAACTCCGAGCACTAAATCAAACCACAGAATCAATCAAATCGAATAAATCTATCTCCAATCAGATCAATCTCAATTCTCAAACGGAGTACAATCAAGTTAAAAGGCAAGCATCCGTCAATCAATCAGATCCGCAAATTCAATCGATTTAAAAAAAAGTAGGAAGAGAGAAAAAAATAAAACCTGAGGGAAGGCGGCGCTCTGAGCCCAAACGCTGCCGTCGTGGCCGAGGATGGCGGAGGAGGTGAGGTGGTTGCCGTCGACTTCGGCCATCAAGTGGTCGTCTATGTACGATTGCCACGACATCGTTTCGTTATTGGTGGAAGAGAGAGAAAGAGAGAAGAGAGAGAGAGAGAGAAGAAAAGGAATCGAAAAAACGCGAAGTGCTGGGTGTGTAGAATGAGAGAGAGGAATGGTGCGGTGGACTGATTATGTACTGCAATCATCACATTTTATGCTTGCGGTCCAAGAGCATCTTTCTGTGTGAAAAGTCTATTTTGCCCCTCTAATAATGTACTCGTTTATTCCCCTAATTAACATATCAAATGAATTGGCACTTTATGGGTATACACAACTAATACAAGGAAATAAAGAAAAGGAAAATAAAGAAATAAAAGGTCAAAATTACAAATAATCTTAATTCCACTTTGCACCCTATAAATATGGTATTTTGGCAATTTGCACTTTTTTGAAAAAAATTGATTGCACTATGCACTCCTAAATACAATAAATCATTCACAATTACACTTTGTGAAAGAAAAAAGAAAAACAGAAAAGAAATAAAAGGTCAAAATTACAATTATTGATACAGAGATAAAACATAAAACCATAAATTGGAATGGTTTACTTCTGTGAGTTCATCAAATTGTGTATTCGAATTATATTAATTAGGGTAAATTACAAACACCCCCCTGAGGTATGGTCAAATTACAAAAACACCCCTCTTGTTTGGATAATTACAACCACCCCCTCAGTTCTTCAAATTTAGTGGAATCTTCGAGCTTATATGAAATATTATCACTTTTGTACCCGTTTTATACCATTCAAATTCTACATTATGAAGTAAGATGATCATAATATGTGATTTTTAGCTTGTGTATATCAGTTTGTAGTGCATCAGAAACTGTATTTTTACACAAAACGAATACAAACTAGAGCACATTACACGGAATCTAGATGATTATATTGAATTTGGCACAATAAGGGTGGAGGTGTAAGAAAAAATCATAGTTGAGGGGGGTATATGTAATTATCCAAACAAGAGGGGTTTTTTTGTAATTTGACCATACCTCAGGGGGTTTTTTGTAATTTACCCTATTAATTATTGAAACAAATATATTAATAAGTGAAAAAAGGGAAAATAATACAAATGCCAGGGAGAAATGGAAAGGAAAAAAGAAGAAAAGCAAAAGAAAGAGGGAGAAAGCTAAAGGAAGAAAGTTGCTCGATAAAAAAGACGTAGAAACAATGACATTAGTTAGGAAAAATGATTAAAAAATTTATACAGTGCATTTATATGGTTGGCTGCACGTTTCTTCATTATCGAAGAAAAAAAAAATAACTAGCAGGAGAAGTAGAACAGGAAATAAAAGGGGAAAAAACAAATATCACCAATTTTTTTGTTGAGAACTTTGTTTTGTTTCCAATTATTTGTTATTTTAGAATTTAATAAAATATTAATTGTACTTTTTTGCTTTTTGAATTTTCGCTTATTACTCTCGGTTAATGGAGATAATATATATATATAGACACACACAATTAATGAACTTGATATTTTAGTTATTTGATGTATTTAACTATTTTCCTATAATCCAATAATATATTATTTTTTTCTACCCAACAATATAAAAATTTAACACTAACACATAAATTTGAGGATACGCCCCTCGAAT